TGTGTGTGTGTGTGTGTGTGTGTGTGTGTGGTTGTGCGTGTGCGTGTGCGTGTGCGTGTGCGTGTGCGTGTGCGTGTGCGTGTGCGTGTGCGTGTGCGTGTGCGTGTGCGTGTGCGTGTGCGTGTGCGTGTGCGTGTGCGTGTGCGTGTGCGTGTGCGTGTGCGTGTGCGTGTGCGTGTGCGTGTGCGTGTGCGTGTGCGTGTGCGTGTGCGTGCGTGTGCGTGTGCGTGTGCGTGTGCGTGTGCGTGTGCGTGTGCGTGTGCGTGTGCGTGTGCGTGTGCGTGTGCGTGTGCGTGTGCGTGTGCGTGTGTGCGCGTGCGCGTGCGCGTGCGCGTGCGCGTGCGCGTGCGTGTGCGTGTGCGCGTGCGCGTGCGTGTGCGTGTGTGTGTGTGTGTGTGTGTGTGTGTGTGTGTGTGTGTGTGTGTGTGTGTGTGTGTGTGTGTGTGTGTGTGTGTGTGTGTGTGTGTGTGTGTGTGTTTGGGCTTGTTTTGTAGGGTACCTTCTGGGTAAGGGAAAGCCACAAGTTCGGGGATTCTAGTTGTACATAATCGCGTCCCATCATCATGACTCGCCGATCAGCAATTCTGATTCTTTGGGCATGCCAGGCATGCCTTTTGTCAACCTTTGCTCCCTGTTGATGGACATTCTTCCTTGGAGAGTTAGCATTGCGTTTCCCAGTAAAAGGCAATTTGCCCTCTAAAAAAGGCGGACACCCTGAAGGAGATCTATTTTTCCCAGCCAGGCGCTTATGCAAAAAGCGCAGCAGCCCAAGCGCGTGGCCCGGAGCCGTGCCGCTCTCAGCTTGGGGGGTGACGCTTTGTGCGGACGCATTGCTTTCAACACGGGGGGGAAACAAGAACTACTCGTGTGGTTTCTTTCGGTGCAAGGCTCAGGTTGTTGCTCCTGCCATCCTCGCGGCGCGCAAAGGCCACGGTCACCCGCCCCGCGGGGTCCGTGGCGCTCTGACCCACCACGGTGCCCAAGATGTTCCTCGGAGTCCCGACAGCGAGGGCCAAAGGCGGGATCCCCAAAAGCCAGCTGCTGAGAAACAATATCAGGTTGTGCCCAACCAAGATGCTGTTTCATTCTGGCACATATTGAGTGAACCTTGTTTACCTCACTTCGCCCTTTCAAGAATCTAGTAGGGAATGCTGGGAACACTTTGGAAGAACTTGGACGCCCTGTTTTTCTCTTTTTTCCCTCCATTCTTGGAAGGAAAGCCGTTTTGCTTAAACAATATGTGAGTATATCTTTTTTAAGCCCCTCTAAAAACAAAACAGATTCTCGGTTTCCCCTTAAATCCATGAAACAAGGGGTACCAACTCCCAAAGATAGACACACCAAGGTATTTAAACATGCTTGGACAAGGCCTTGGTTGGACAAAAAAGGTCGAGCAGCGCCAAAAGAGAGGGGTGGGTCGAGGCCCAGCCGATCTGCCCAGCAACCCAGACCCTGATCAATTTAAAGGGCAACAGGTTGGAACAAGAAAGGTCAAAATTGGGGAAAACTGGTGAGTCCCCCGGTTTGTGTGGGTATCCCACATATCCCCCCCCCCCCGCGTTCCAAACAGACCGCAGGAGATGTTGACAGAAACTCATGGGGCAGCCAACGGCGTGGGACCTCACCACCCCTCATCCACCAAACATCACGCTGGAAATCAAAACTTTCCTTCTGGAAAGGGTCCGTCTGCCCTTCCATATCCCTTATGGCTGGAAGGGTATACCCCCCCCGTTCCGTAACACCGCAGAAGCCTATGGTCTGTGCTGTTGACTCCAGATTAATTAACCTCACGGATTGATGGGGGGTTGGGGCTTCCAAGAAAGTCAAGAGTTCTCCTGAATGGGACACCCCCCCGTTCATCAACCACAGGCTTATTGAGCCCGGGTCAAAACATTGGCTGCGGGCGTCTGCTTCACCACCACGACGCCCTTCACCCTCAAGTCTTTGGCCGCCAGCACCGTCTCCCCGCGACGGAAGCCCCCGGCAATCCTCGGGCTTTCTTTTTCGAGCCCGTGTGTCCGTCAGCCTTACTGCAACCCGTTTCCGGGGGTTGTGAAAGCTATGGCCGTTTCCTTGCTGGTACCGATGCTTGTGCCGCTGTAACAGGGATGCCAAAAAGGGCCCCAATTTTGACAACGCTCCGTTTGACATCTGGGCCGGACGCACGCAACCCCATGCACAAAGTTAACCGTGTGTCCAAACGGGGACATGACGCAGAAGCAAAACGGCTGCGCAAGTTGAACAAAGCTAAGCCTAGAAATGTTCAAACCTGGGCATGGGACCTTCCAAATTGCTGGGATTCGGCGGCATCAACCCGAGGAAAACCTGGTGCTCCTCAACGGCTTTCCGAAAAAGAACGTCTCTTTTTTTGGGTGGTGAACACCAAAGGGAAACAAGGGTCTGTCTCAAAATAGGATAACCAAAATGGGTGGGTTGCATGTGGTTTCCCTTCAAAGCCATCCAAAAAGGGCATCCTCCAAAAAAGGCACGCCCACATTTACTTTGCTCCTCCAACGGACGGGGGCCCCTAGTCCTAGTAGGAGAGTCCTATTTTCAGGTGGCAAGAGGCCATAGCTCAAGTGCCCTGGGGAGCTTCCCATGCACAGTGAGCAAACAGACAGACGGACAAATAGTTAGCTAGATTGATTGACTGACTGACGTTGTTGCTTGCTTGCTTGCTTGATTGATTGATTCATTGGTTGAGGGATTGATTGATTGGTCGATTGATTGATTGGTTGATTGATTGATTGATTCATTGATTGATTGGTTGATTGAGGGATTGATTCATTGGTTGATGGATTGATTCGTTGATTGATTGATTGGTTGGTTGATTGATTGATTGATTGATTGATTTATTGATTTGTTGATTGATTTATTGATTGATTGATCGATTCATTGATTCATTGATTGATTGATTGATTGATTGATTGATTGATTGATTGATTGATTGATTGATTGATTGATTGATTGAGTGACTATATTACATTCAAGTAGCTCCAGAGTAGATAGACAGATAAATTAGATAGGTTGACAAAATTGAAAAATACGTTGGAATAAGACAAGGGCATAGAAGATGACATAAGAAAACAAGATAAGTATGACAAGGTGAGGTAAGGCAACATTTGATACGACAAGACAACACATTAATAAGGTAAGACCGACATAGTGGGCAGACCCATAGGCAATGGATAAACCATATAAGGCAGACAGATAGGTGAAGAGATAGATAGACCGACGGAGAGGCAGACAGACTAACAGACGCACAGACAGACACACAGACAACAATATTTAATATGGTTAGTAGATACATCGATACATAGATTAGGTTAGAAATATTATACACGTATATAGATTAGATACATAGACCATGTAAGACCGACGCGGTGGATAACACGCCTTATTGATAAATAAGACAATTGATAGGGTGAATCATCTAGATTAGAGAGGCAAGGTAGACAACGTGAAAAGACACGATAAGACTGGCAAGACAAACATATACGATTTTAAGCCCGTCTAACCCTGTCTATATCTTGAAATAAATGAGATAGATAAGGTACACCAGATAAGATAGATCATGTAGATAAGACACGGTAGACAAAGATAGATAAGACAGGCCAGGCAGGCAGGCAGACGGACAGGCAAGCAGGGAGGCAGACAAACAGACCAGGCAGGCTGGCGGGCAGGCAGGGAGACAAACAGACAGACAAACGGACAGACTCACGGGCAGACAGGCCGACAGGTGGGAAGGCACTCAGGCAGGCAAACAAACAGGCAGGCAAACAAACAGGCAGGCAGGCCCGACAAACAAATCCACTTGAGAGTTCCTTTTTGAGAGCCCCTCTTGTGTTTTTGCTCATGGAAAACCAAACGAGGCCAGACACAAACCCACCTCCAAGTTGCCTTTTTGTCTCCACACAACACCTCAACTAACAGCAATGGTTTAGACTCCGGTCTACTTTTTGGCATGCCCCCCCCCCCAATACTCCCACCGTTAGGCATGTTGTTTGGGGACAGGGGGAGGGAAGGGGCACAGGTGCCGGGGGTTGGGTCCCTTAAAGCGGCATCGCCAAACTTACTTAAATAATGGTGCACAGCAAAAGCAAGTTTGAGAATCTGAGAAGGATAAAGTCCAGGAACTCATAAAGTGAGAAAATGAGTTTGTCTTTTTTTGGGGGGAGCCCTCCATCGAAACAACCCAAAAATGGCTGCTCCACAAATGCACCTTACGCACCCAACGGGTCCCAAACCCCGCAGCGCAACCGGGGACCCCGCATGAGCCGCACGTCATCCGAGTGGGCGTCCCGCTCGGAAGGAGCGTTCTGCACCGCCGAGTCCCAGCGGACCATGATCCTTGGCGTGGGAGGCGGGGCCCGTTTCGTATCCGTTTGGTATCTAACTGTCTTTGTTGATTTGCGTATCTTGCTGTTTTGGGAACACCCCGGGGTTCGGGTGTCTTTTCCAAAAATTGGGGGGCTCTTCCGGGTGGGCACGTGTTGACTTTTGCAAGGGTCTTTGGGGTGTGGGTCTTGCAGGCTTTGACCCTGCAAAAGACTCCAAGTGCCCATGGACCCCCATTTTCTTGTTTGAATCCCGAAGAAATCTATGTCCAAACCTCACCTCCCTCATCTCCAACCCCAACACGCCTCCCCTCTGCACCTCCTCCCTCTGCTCCCTCCTAATGGTGGATGCAAGAATTTCATTTTGCAACTGCCTTCTTGTAGGGCACTGTGTTTTTGGGTTCTTGGGCGCAACATATACTCTTAGTGCCTGTGGCACCCCGCTTCCCCTTCTCAGCTGCCAGAAAACTTTGTTTATTTGTTGCCCAACTTGGAATGATCACAACCCCAAAACGCCCCCCCTCCCAATCTCCACCGTCCTTCCTCACCTCGCCTCCGAACGGAGTGGTGGTAAGTCCCACAAGAGGGAAGGCAAGTAAACTGGGTGCACTATTCAATTGTCCCTCAGTCAGCTACTTATGGTCCAACCTCTTCTACCACCCTGAGAACCACTATTTGTTTTTTTGCTTTCTGCTAGTCAGAACGCCCCCAGCCCCCCCCCTCCCGCAGCCCCCTCGCGCCTTGCGAGTGGCTCGTCAGAGGCCGGGCCCACCACGGTGCCGATGGACCCCGCAGGCACCGGCGCCAGGCGGTCGTAGCTGATAGGCCGCACTGCCTGGGGACGGGGGCGGGGGAAGGTGGCGGGGCATAGCTTGGGATTTGTAAGGTTAAGCCCCGATTAAGCCAACAGAACATATTATTAAGCAAATAAAAGGTTGGGATTTGGGAATATGATGGATTCATGGCCAAACCACATTGTCTAACCCATGGTTTCCAATGTCTGTTTGATTGCCTTTAGAGCTCAGCCAATTTGTGTAAACAACTTCCTTTTGGTGCCCTGTTTTGGCTCAACCAACTTTAGCAAAAGTTTGTATCCAATGTTCACCAAGTTTGGATTTCCAAGATTGCTTGAACAATTACCTTTTGCTTTCAAAGCTGGTCAACCAATTTGTAAACAACTTCCCTCTGGTTCCCATGTCATGTGCTGCTGACCCCGGAGTAATCAACCCTTCCTATTAATAAGGGGTGTTCCCCTCCAAGAGTGGTCCGAACCCCACTCAAATGGCACCCCCCCAATCCAAATCAACCGGTTCTGCTTCATCCAGAGTTTCCCATGAAACAACTTCCTTTTGGTTTAGTCTCTTGGCCTGTTTGGCCTTGGTCCTTTTGGTCCTTTTGCTCTTTAAAGACGGCCCTTTCGTCCTGGTCCCTTCCGAGTTGATGCCCGCTCCGCCTGCACGCGCGCGCCCACCTCGAGACCGCCCGCCAGGTACCTCAAAAGCCGAATTCCGAGACTCCGCAACCGCGCTCGAAAAGGACGGGGCGAAACAGAAGAACTTCTTGCTTCTGGTGGGTGTGTACACCCCCTACAAATGAAGATGGAATTTAAAAGGGGGGGGTCCCCCAAAAAGAGCTTCCTCTTGGTGTGGTTGATTGGGTTACATGTTGATCTGTGGGTGTGTATTTGATTTCAGGGTTCCTTATGTTCTTCGTCACAAAAAGGGAGTTTCTGGATGGTGTCTGATTTAAAAGGTACCACTCTCTGAAGCATCACGAGGTTCATAGCAGGAGGGTCAGCGATAGACTCTCTCTGAATTGTGGGTGCCCACAGGTATATCTGGGATATATTTTTACTAACACATAGGTACACATGCGAATGCATACCTCTATGTATACATAGATATACACATGGTGTGTATCTATGTGTCTTTGCTTTTGGGATACGTACGGCAAATTATTTGGAAACCCCATATTCATACCCCTGTTCAGGGTACGTTTACATGCCCCGTTCCAGGGGGCAAACACCTATAGTGCGTATCTATCAGTTAGCACTTTTTAGCAGGCGGCACAGTTAGCACATCCCTGGGTTGGCCGGAATGCCCCCGTCAGCCCCGAACAGTTAGCACACACCTGCCACACCCCGAAACCGAAAGGGGCGACCAACAGTTAGCACATGCCTCTCTGGTTGTGGGCAGAGATACGCTTTCTGAAACGAGCAACTTTCGCAATGCAGTACAAGTGTAGTAAAGGAAGTACACTTGGCAGATCCGTCTCAAAAGTCGCAACTTTTCAGTACAAGTGTAGTAAAGGAAGTACACTTGGCAGATCCGTCTCAAAAGTCGCAACTTTTCAGTACAAGTGTAGTAAAGGAAGTACACTTTGGCAGCTCCGGCTCGAAAGCCGCAACTTTTCAGTATAACTGTAGTACAGGAAGTACGCATTGGCAGCTCCAGCCCGGACGTCTCAACTTTTCAGTACAAGTGTAGTACAGGAAGTACGCATTGGCAGCTCCTGCCCGGAAGTCTCAAGTTTTCACTACAAGGAAGTATGCCTTGGCAGCTCCGGCTCGAAAGTCGCAACTTTTCAGTACAAATGCAGTAAAGGAAGTAGATTTGGCAGATCCAGCTCGAAAGTCGCAACTTTTCAGTACAAGCGTAGTAAAGGAAGTACATTTTGGCGGCTCCGGCTCGAAAATCGCAACTTTGTGTAGCAAAGGAAGTAGATTTGGCAGATCCGGCTCGAAAGTCCAGTACAAGCGTAGTAAAGAAAGTACACTTCGGCAGCTCCAGCTTGAAAGTCGCAACTTTTCAGCACACGTGTAGTATAGTGCGTATCAATCAGTTAGCACTTTTTTCCTAGGCAGATAGCACATTACTGTGTTGGCCGGAATGCCCCGTCAACCCTGAACAGTTAGCACACACCTGCCACACCCTGAAACCCAAAACAGCGGTCAACAGGTCGCACATGGGGCTCTCTGGCTTTGGGCAGGCGAACAGAACATCAAAGGGCTACATACGCTTTCTCGAATGTTCATGGAAGCACACGTGTCAAATCTTCACTAAGCGTAGAAACTTGCAGAACCCAGTGAGCCTATGATGGAGGAAGGGTTTGCGGTGGACTGGCTTACATGGAGCTTGCGTGGATAGGTGATGCTTTACTTGGCCCTAGTACTTTGTTGAACGTTATTATTGTGTTACAGTGTTTTCGAACTTTGGCAGCTCCGGCTCGAAAATCGCAACTTTGTAGCACAAGTCTAGCTACGCGAAGTACACTTCCGCAGCTCCAGATCGAAAATCCCAACTTTGTAGCACACAAGTCTAGCACGCGAAGTGCACTTCCGCAGCTCCAGCTCGAAAATCGTAGTGCAAGTCTAGTGCGCGAAGCCCACTTCCGCAGCTCCAGCTCGAAAATCGCAACTTTGTGGTACAAGTCTGTGCGCGAAGTACACTTCCGCAGCTCCAGCTCAAAAATCGCAACTTTGCAGTACAAATCTAGTACGCGAAGCACACTTCCGCAGCTCCAGCTCGAAAATCGTAACTTTGTAGTACAAGTCTAGTACGCGAAGCACACTTCCAAATCGCAACTTTGTAGTGCAAGTCTAGTGCGCGAAGCACACTTCCGCAGCTCCAGCTCGAAAATCGCAACTTTGTAGTACAAGTCTAGTACGCGAAGTGCACTTCCGCAGCTCCAGCGCGAAAATCGCAACTTTGTAGCACAAGCCGAGCACGCGCGAAGAACACAAGTCGCGACTCGCCTTCGCGTTTTACGGCGGCCACGCAAGGGTCCCACCCCAACTAAGCTGCAACTGCAGGGGTCACTGTAGAGCCACGTGTTAACTAACGGTTATCGTTTTTGGGGGAGACCGTATCGTTGTCCGTGGCTTTTTGGAGTCGTAGGCCAAAGAGTACCCCCTTTACCAAAGTGGTCTACACGTGTTTTGTCCGTGGCTCTTTTGTGTCCCACGACTTGTCAGGGTGAAAGACAAGAGTTTGCCAACATACAAATGGATTGCCAGGTGCCAGATTCTTCCGCGTTGACGTGTGGAAATCCAGCAATGCAGCTCCGGCTCGCAAGTCGCAACTTTTCAGTACAAGGAAACTTTGGCAGGGAAACTTTGGCAGCTCCGGCTCGAAGGTCGCAACTTGTCAGTACAAGTGCAGTAACGGAAATACACCTTGGCAGCTCTGGCTCGAAAGTCGCAACTTTTCAGCACAAGGAGATACACTTTGGCAGCTCTGGCTCGAAGGTCGCAACTTGTCAGTGCAAGTGTAGTAAAGCAAGTACACTTTGGCAGCTCCGCCTCGAAAGTCACAACTTTTCAGCACATGTGTAGTAAAGGAAACGCACTTTGGCAGCTCCGGCACAAAAGTCGCAACTTTTCAGTACAAGTGCATAAGGAAATACACTTTGGCAGCTCCAGCTCAATGGTCGCAACTTGTCAGTACAAGTGTAATAGACAAAGTACACTTTGGCAGGCAAACGTACAAACGCTCGGGCTCCCGCTTGGGGCGACACGGATGCCACGCAACAGGCGTCAGCAAATCGAAGAGCAACCGCGTTCGAGTTTCTGCTCGGGCCGAGCACGGGTGCCACGCAAGGGCACAAGCAAAGGCAAGCGAAGCCACGCTCGGAATCCCGCTCGGATCCCGCTCGGGCCGAACGCGGATGCCACGCAAAGGCCTCAGACCCTCTTGCGGAAGCCATACAGTTAGCACACGCCAGACCGTCTTGCACCTCGCTTGGCCGTGTCAGCCAGCCAGGATGCAACCGCGCTTCTCCTACAGTATTTGCCGTTTCCTGCAACGGCAGCCCAACTGTCTTGATAATTGAATTTGGCTTTGGGATTCACAAACAACGGGCCCCTAAAAGCCTGGCAACTCCACCCCTGAAAGCCTGGCAACTCCAACCCTAAAGCAATGCTTCCTGCAACTTGAAAGGGCGCCCGTAGAATAAAACGACACTATCAAGAAGCTTGCATTGTCCGAGTTTTGCGTCCAAACGCAAACACATTATCGTAGCAAAACCGTTGGGCCACCAAGTTTCGAAGTGAAGCTGACTTGGGCACCGTGTACAAGCTTTACCCGCAAGACAAAGACAAGTTCATAATCATGAAGAAACACCGTGCCCTGGTTTTACTCTTGAAAGCCCACAAGTTTTGCCGGGGCCGCGCCGCAAACAGGCTTGGGATCCCGCTCGGGCCGAGCACCGACGCCGCAAAGGCGCTGGTAAGGACCAAAGCAAAGCAGACACGCTCGGGATCCCGCTCGGGCCAAACACGTGCGACGTGCCAAGGTGCAGGTAAGGACCAACGCAGCCACGCTCGGGGGTCCACTCAGGCCAACTATGGATGCAGCGCGCAGGCGTAGCCCGCTCGGGATCCCGCTCGGCCCGAGCACGGGTGCCGCGCAACGGCAAGAGCAAAGGCAAGCGAAGCCAATCCCGCTCGGGCGAACGCGGATGCCACGCAAAGGTGTCACTTGCGGAAGCCATACAGTTAGCACACGCCAGATTCTCTTGCACCTCGTTTGGCCGTGTCAGCCAGGACTCTTCGCATTACGCTTGCCAACGCGCTTGTCCTACAGTACTCGCCGTTTCCTGCAAGGGCAGCCCAGCTGTCTTGATAATTGAATTCGGCTTTCGGACATAAAAAGAACGGGCAGCCTTAACTCCACCCCTAAAAGTCTGACAACTCCACCCCTAAAGCCATGCTTCCTGCGACTTGAAAGGGCGCCCGTAGCAACAAAACACGACATTATCAAGAAGCGCGCATTGTCCGAGTGTTGCACCATTTGGCATCCAAATGCAAATGCATTATCGTAGCGGAACAGTTGGGCCATCAAGTCCCGAACTCAAGCTGGGCTAGGACACTGTGTAAAAGCCTTACCAGCAAGAGAACTGCAAGTCCATAATCCTGAAGAAACACCGTGCTCTGGTTTCACTCTTGAAAGCCCACAAATACGCTCGAAGTTTTGCCGGGGCTGCGCCCGCAAACAGGCTTGAGGCCCCGCCCGGGCCGAGCACAGACGCCGCGCAAGGCGCTGGTAACACACAGAGGACCAAAACGGCCAGGCTCGCTAGCCCGCTCGGAATCCCGCTCGGGCCGAGCACGGATGCCACGCGAAGCACCGCTCGGGATTTCCGGGGCGAGCGCGGATGCCACACAAAGGCCTCAGACCCCCTTGCGGAAGCCATACAGTTAGCACACGCCAGACCCTCTTGCGCCTCGTTTGGCCGTGTCAGCCAGGGCTCTTTGCATCACGCCTGCCAACCCGCTTCTCTACTGCAATAGCTGTCTTGACAATTGAATTTGGCTTTGGGATTCACAAACAACGGGCCCCTATAAAAGCCTGGCAATTCCACCCCTGAAGCAATGCTTCTTGCGACTTGAAAGGACGCCCGTAGCACACATCAACGACATCATCCAGAAGCTCGCGTTGTCCGAGTGTTGCATCATGTTCCATCCAAACGCAAACGCATTATCGCAGCGGACAGT